ACGTAAGTGAATAAAGTTAAAATCTTTCGCAATTGCAGTAAAACGCACGCCAATAAAAAGTCACTTACACATCTTCGTTTCGAATCTGATGAATGAAAACGGCGAAGCGAACACGTTTCTTCGGTCGTGTCGAGTGGGTGCTGCTTTTAAGCTAGTGCCGCGTTCTACAGGACGTTAGGTGAATAAAGTTAAAATCATTCACAATTACAGTAAAACGCACGCCAATAAAAACTCACTTACACGTCGTCGTTTTGAATCTGATGATCGAAAAACGCGAAGTGAAAATGTGTCTCAGCGTCATGTCTTTCCGTAGCATCGGGTGGGCGTTGCGTGTATTTAAGCTCCCGCGGCATGACGTCTCAATCCGGGTTACGGGTAGTGGAATTTCCGCTTACGTAAGTTCCGGTAACATGTAATATCGTAGTCAAAATGTTAATGCATAGGTTTTTGTTCCGGGTGAAGGAAATTCCTTTTCATAGAATTCCGGGGATGGGAATATTTACTGTATTTGCTTGCTTGACTAATTTTAGAATGTTTAATGGATTAAAGTTTAAGAATTTTAATGTTGCCCTTGCATCCTTGCATTTTTATGAACGCGGCCCTCAAATGAAAAAGTTTGTACCCCCCTGGTTTAGATTCTATTTGGCAGGCAGGACTTTTTGCATTAGCCTTTTTTGCTTTGAGTCCCACTCTCCCCACACTATCGTGTGGTGACCCACAGGGTTCAATTTTGGAGCCCCTGGTGTTTTCATTGTATTTGCTGACCCTGCGTTCCATCTTAAAGAAAGCATGGCATTTCCTTTCACTGCTATGCGGTTAACAGTCAGATCTATGTCTTGCTAAGCAAAAATCGTGTCTTCTCTTTAAGGTAACTGTAGTCCTATTTGGAGGAAATCAACCCTGGATGGCCCGAAATTTCTTGAACTTGAACGAAAAGAAAACAGAAGTTATGGTGTCCCAGTGGCCCTTGTACATTTCACCCTGACATACACTGACTCCCAGTCAGCTATAGAATAGATTTTAAAGGTCAGCTACTGGTCTGTAAATTATGTAAACTCATATATAAATAATATGCATGTCATGATTTAGGTCTTGAATATATGAAAGAAGTGGAACCCAGAGGACATTTTTATTGCTCAAAGCTTCGTCTACTATGGCTAGGGACACAAATTTGAGCTAACCTCAACATGATTTTAGTCTCTCTTTTGTCTCTCATCTTCTCAAGTGTTTCTCCTAAAATTCCTTAGGAGAAATAAGTGCGACCAAGTAATTATAGAGGGAGTCCAACTTTAGATGTCATGGTGATACCTTGGAAATGTCAATTAAAGGAGAAAATGATCATACTGGAGATCCTATGGAACAACGTGAGTCTCTTACTCACTGCACATGCGTATAGCCGCCCACACACACACAAAAATTTTGATAAATCAAAATTTAGACAGCCGGAAACATCAATGGCCGTTAGCCCTCACCATCTCAAAAGCTGCATGTGGACTCTGTTTAGCAGTAAACTAATATAATTTAATTGGTTCATTCTTGATGAATGTTAAAGAGTTGGAAAAACCTCACTTTACTCTGCAATAATGTAAAAATACAGGGAGCACTCCCTAATGGCCAGAAAATCCTTTTTCTTTTTACAACTAAGTTTACGTTTGTGTGGTTTAGTTTAGCACTTAAATGCAGTGTGTGAATCGTACTTATTTTCAACATTTAATTTTTATATATATTTTTTATTTCTATGCATGTGGCAAGTTGCAATCTGTTGAGTTCAAATAAATACCAAGTGTTCTAAAATATTTTTTTATTATTAATTGAGCTATTATGAAGATATTTTACCCTACAGATAAAACGAGAGTAAAAATTCTGAATTACTTTGCTGAGTAACTAATTATTTTTACAAAGCAGTAACTGAGTTAGTAACACAAATCCTTTTTTGAAAAATTAATTTGTCACTATACTGTAACTAATTACTTTTTTGAAGTAAAATGCCCAAGCACCGGTGGCATTGCCTGTGTTCTCCACTCAATCCAGCTGAGAAGGGAAAGACGCTGACTGCTGAGCCAAATGCCTCAACCACCGACTCAGCAGCTTGCATCATCCAACAATCATGCAGCACAAGCTATGGTCAAATGCACGCAGTCATTTGGCTTCATAATTGGATAGCAAACGGCAGAGGAGCTGACAGACAAATGAATTTCACTTTTGAAATAATCGGGATCTAACTCAATCTTAATCTTCTTTCGTAAAATTTAACAAAGCTAAATTGCAGTTGTTTTTATTTTAGAAATTATGTGGTTGATTACACTATTCTCTATCCCCCCCAAAAATATATGCATAAACAATGCAGCCAACAACATTTTCTAGAGCAGTTTCGTATATACAGTACAATCCAAATATGTCTTTACTTTTTCCTCTTTATTCACCAGTTTTGTTTTTTTTTGTCATTTGAGTTACTTTTTTAAGAGCAGGAATTTTTGGATGAAAATCTGACATTTGTGCAGTTGTAAAGGATATTAAAGCAGTGGAGCGGTAGAAGAGTATTTACTTGTCATTCAATAATGAAGATATTGGGTCAGTTAATTACTTGATGCACATGAACTTTTGCTCAGTTTTTCCATGTAAATGGATAGATTGTTCCTGCACTTCTCACACACGCGCACACACACACACACACACACACACACACACACACACACACAC